TTTTTTTTTATCCATTTTCCCCTTGGTAACCACAGTTTGAAAACCCCTGCTTTATAGAACCTAGTCACTATTTATTAACTAATATGTTAACCTTGAGAAACCTATACTGCCAAATGTATTTTTATACTTACCAGCATTTACAAATTACACTTTTGAAATCACATTTACTACCTGTTTGGACTCAACCATCCATCATAATGACATTTGTTCATCTTCAGTCCAGATGTTCATCTTCAGTTGGTTATTTGACACTGTGTGTTGGCCTTTCTGTGCGTCTCCTCAGATCCCCGTTTCTGCTCTGGTGTCTTTTGTGGAGGCCTTGGAGGTGGGCTACAGCAAACACAGAAACCCTTACCACAACCTAATCCACGCCGCAGACGTCACCCAGACAGTGCATTACCTCCTGCTCAAGACCGGCATGGTTGTAAGTCCAGAGTTGCACCACCAGAAACCTACTTCGCAAAAAAAATCATGTCCTAGACCCTGTGAATTCAAACAACAGCCTTGCCTTTGGGGATTTGTGCATGTTTGTGTGTGCTTGGGTAGAATAATCATGTACATCGAGTCCCCTTGGTTGTTTATTATTGTTATTTCTTCTGAACTGAGCCGGTGAAGTATGTTTTATTAAGCCTGACACTGCACTTGAGGTATTTATTGAGGTTGGGGTTCTTGGAATGGAAGTAGGTGCAACGGTCCACTCTCGCTTCACGATGCTGCTCGTATACCAATCAATAGGAAGTTAATCTCCCTCGACGCCTCAAAACACGCTCCTGTCACTCCCGCCGTGGGCTCATGAATCTCTCTGTGATGTGTGGACATCACACTGGCATTCCGACTAATTATTTGCCCCCTAGCATTTACACCGCTGATGATTTCTTTTTGTCATTCTGGCACTTTGGTGATTTAGTGTTAATATAAAATATTGTTATATGCACAGAAGAATAAATGTGCAGAAGAATAATGAACTAATAAGATTTAATTTCCTTCATGCTTATCTTCAGTTTAGCGGAACGATATTATTTATTAAAGAATATATAATGGGGCTTTAAATTGTCTCATAAGGAAGTGTTTTTCATTGAATATGAAAAAGTGATTTTTTTTAGCAAATTTTTTGCTACTGTTCGTATGAAATTTCCATCTGTTGTTTTTCTAGTTTTCCTCACAGTCTTCATGTTAAAACAAACA